AGCTGAAATTGTAAAAGATGTTGTAAATATTTTTAATGTATTGTCAGAATTATCAGACATGACTATGGGGTGTACTAGTTCATGTTCAAATGTCTGTCTCTTTAAATTCTTGCAGATGTCTGACAACAAAACAATCGTTTTCTTTGACCTGGAGACCACTGGATTAGGTAACACTGATATAATGTTTGTCTGCTTATCACTTTATCACTCTCAGATGAAATATTACCCTTTATTTACCTTATTAGATGACAGTCAGTGGTATATTGTGCACTTTTTTAAAAAATATTTACTTATATTTTTATGTTCTTTTAATGGGCTCAGAGGTTTATATTTGATCTCAGAAATAGGGGAGAGCGGGGTCAGTTGGGACACTTTTGAATCAACTAGGGCTGCCCCCTAATAGTCGACCAAACGTTAGTCGACCAGAAAGGGCATTAGTCAGTAAGATTTCATTGGTCGCTTAGTAACAGAAGAAAAAAACAAACAAAAAAAATTAAACTCTATTAGGAGCTGCGCCTTGTCAAAATAAATCCAAACCTATATGACTGGACCATGTGGGAATTTATTTTGAAAGGACAGACACAGGAAGTGTCCACGCTCAGCAGTCAGACAGGAGTCAGGTTAATTTCCAGGGCTGGTGCCTGTGGTTATTCCACAGGCTAGTTAATAACATGTCGGGCAGGAAATCCAAAGTGTGGGATCATTTTGAGAAGGTGAAGGACGAACCCAAGGTGATATGTAAACTCATCTTCATTGGTCGACTGCAAACATGACGTATCATCTGAAACATGGAAGTAGCTACATGCCCATTAGCCCACAGCGTCATTAACAGGTGGCTCGCTCAGTGTGTGACGTGCACTTGTAGATAAAATATAGGCCTATATTAATGAAGGTTCATTAGTATGGTTTTGTATTTCTCTGTAATGTAGCACAGTGTTAACAATGTTACTGATACTATTCTCCCTCACACCTTCAACTCAAATCATTGTGTTGCCCTGCCCAAAATATATCATTTAATAATTACATTAATATCATAAACATGTGGGCAACTAGTCGACTAATGTTCCTAAAAGATGACTATTGGTCAAGTAGGAAAATTCTTAGTCAGGGGCAGCCTAAGCATCAACAAGACTTAACCTTCCTTCTATTACTCACAGATGACTTGAACAGTAATGACAATAATTTGGTCCCTGAGGAGATACAGGTATCTGCTGACAATTTATAAAGTTTTTTTAGAGCCCAACCCAAACATGAAAGAGTGTGTTTCAGTTTCTATTTCATAGGTTTCAAATCTCACATTTGCATCTGTCTCGTTTAGTTAGAAAAGGGTGCAGCAAGACTTGGCTGGCATCAAACTCTGAACCAAGATTACAACACAGGGGACATGTACGTGCCAAACCACAAACTTAACAGACATGCTGTTCATGCTGCTGCCACAGGATGCCACTCCTACATGACAGATTTGTATGAGAGTTGCAACCTACAGATTAAATGATCAAACAGTACATATTCTAAAATATTAAATACAGAGCCCTGTGAGCTTGGCAAGATTTAAGGGCGGATTCAAAACCAGCAACTGCACGGCCACAGACTCCTCGGGGCCTCTTTAAATCAATATATGTATTTTAACAATGGATTCAGAGACTATGAGGATTGTGTGGAATTGTGATGGATATTTTTCAGTGTTTTCTGATATTTTAAATCCTAAATGATTAATGTAGAAATTGAGATTGCAGATTAATACATGATGAAAATTAGTTGCAGACCTGGTTGTTAGATATGTCTGTCAAAATTACCCTTCATGTCAAAACCTTTGAAGGAACAGTGTGGCTGAAACCAGATGTTAAGAGGAAGATTTTCACTGTAACTTTAAAGCGAAGTTCCTGAGTCTGTGGTTTTGACTTTGTGTTGAATGACTCGGTGGCTGCACGCATGATCTCACATTTAGCAGGATGTCACGTCTGGCTGAATACTCGATTCTGATTGGCTGCAGGGTGTCCATTGAAACCTGATACTGGACAAGGAAACTATAAAAGATGTTATTCTAGTTAGCCCTTGCGAGGGTTTTATGTCTCATTCCTGCACCACTGTAAGACCTCATGAAATATAGAAATATCTTTCATTGCCAAGTCACATTTAAGGGTGCGTTCACACCTGCCCTGTTTGGTTCAGTTCAATCAAACTCAAGTTTGTTTGCCCCCTAAGTGCGGTTCATTTGGGCAGGTGTGAACACAGCAATCACAATCAGGTGTGCACCAAAACAACCAGGCCGAGACCTTCTTGAAGTGGTGTCAGTCCGGTTACAAACGAACTCTGGTGCGGTTCGTTTATGGTGAGAACGTGTTCATTGTTCATTCACATTGTTTGGATTAAACATGAGCATGTTACAGTCCTGGAGGATTATTAATGTGCACCTCCTCCTGTACTGCCTTAATATGCACATTCAGCACATCCAATGCATCAAAACATTGTTTTCTAGTTGGAGCTGCGCCTCGTTTTCAAACTGTATGGTTTGACTAAAATGAACAATGACAGCAATATAGTACACGATGAGCAGCGCTAAAATCAACCTGCGTAGTTGTCCCTCCATTGTGACATTAGAAAGTGTCACATTTATCTTGCAAGTGTACTCTACTTCAACGTTTGGTTTACTTCCTGGATTTTTCCCGCATGGAAATTCTGACCAATCAAGAGCAGCTTTCTCACACAAGGCATTTGACCTGGTCCACTTGTAAATGCTGCTGTGAGAACACAAACCAACTCTAGGCAATTATAAAACTTTGTAACAAAATTAGTCCCTGATTCAGACCAAAGGAGACAACTCTAGGTCTGAAAGCACCGTAAGGTTCCTCCTATTTACCAGAGTAGTGGAGAATGTTTGCATTGCTTAAGAACCTTATGGGGCAGCGATGATTGTTCCAGGTATTAGATAAACCCTCAGGTGTTGGTTGCAAAATGCATGAAAATATAAATTAATGGGTTATTTCTTCGGCAAATGACCGTGATAGAAGTGAGAATGTGTTGGTGGAGCAGAAGCAGGAGCAGATAAATCTATATCTCCTCATGGTATATCTTGTCGTCAGCCACTCCTACGTCACTCAGATCTCTGAGATTATAAACTACATTTATTTATATTTTCTTTTTCTCTTTTCCCTTCTGTAATCCATCCCTTCTCTGCTTTCAGACACTGCTGTGTGTGACATCATCCAGGTGTCAGCCATCTGTGGAGAGAGGGTCTTTAATGTCTACACCCTCCCCCGCCGCCCCCTCACTGAGAGCGCCAGACAGGTGACTGGTTTCACGGTCACTGATGGCTCCCTGTTTCTCCACGGGAAATCTGTGGACACCGTTCCTCTTGTTGATGCTCTCACGTCCTTCATCAGCTTCCTGCGCTCATTCCGCTGCCCCGTGCTGTTGGCGGCCCACGGTGCAAAGCGGTTCGATGCACCTGTGCTCACCAGGGTGCTGCGAAGGCTCTCCCTACACCAGGAGTTCCAACAGGTGGTGTCTGGGTTCGTGGATACCTTCCTGCTAAGCAAGAACCTGTATCGCAATCTGAGCAGTCATTCTCAGCAGTACATGGTGCGCCACTTCCTGGGGAGGACCTACGAGGCACACAATGCAGTGGAGGACGCCACGATGTTGCAGGAGCTGTTCAACTCATGGAGTCCCACCAAATGGAACGTCTCCAGAGTTACTCTGTCAACCTACCTATTTTAAGATAAGCTACAGAGAAGATGGATGATATTTATGACCATTAGAAAAAAATGAAATGATGCATAGATCCAGGTTCTTGTGATGGGAGACAAATGATGCATGTTACACCCCAAACTGGACCCAAACTGACAGAAATGTCAATTCCATATTGTGTAATTTGTTTAGTGTTGTCTATGTACTGTAATGTGTCGTACACAAACGTGTTGTACTGTTTTGTCTTTCCAGTAAATTGTAGCACAATTTTCCTACAATAACCATTAAACTTCCATTTGATTCTTACACACAACTTTGTTTTTTTTTTTTTTTTTTTATGCCTCTGTGCCGGTGATAACCCCGACCGAAGGCATCATGTTTTAGGTTCTCCATCCGTCCCGTTCTTGTGAACGCGAGGGAATCCTTCACATTTGTTCAAGAATGAACTTAAAGGAATATTCTCAATGGTGTAATATATACAAAGGGGAAAAGATTTTTTAAAAAAACTAGGAAAAATTATGTAGAATAAGAAATTGGGTTTATGACATGTGGAACTGCCCAGTAATATCAAATCAAATCATGTTTATTCATATAGCATATTTGAAAATAACCACAGTTGACCAAAGCACTGTACAAAATAAAAGACTGACACACAAATATATAGCAATATAAAATGTACACATATATAAAACAGATAAACACCAGTAAGAACAATTACATACATAAAATAAGATGATAAAATACTAAAATATTAAAACCAGTACAAAAAAACCTAAAGCCATTGAAATCATGTATGTTTTAAGACTTCATATAATCCAATTAACTGCATGTGGAAGAGGAGAATTAGGCTACAAGTAAAGTTTTTGTTACAAAATATGAATGGTATCATCGAAATATTCCTCTTAACAGTAGGCTAATACTTAATGTTATTGTACATTAAATGACAGGATTTTGAGATTCCTTTCATTTTCAGTGTTTAAACTAAAATTATCTTTTTAGGGTGAGAGACCCTTTTTAAATTATGATAACTATGTTTAGTGTTTCATGTCCTCTTTAAGTATTGGCACATACTGTATAATAAGTTTTTTTTGTTTCTTTACAAAATATATAAGTATAACCAGTGTTGGTATGTCCACCAACCAAACAGATGTACTGTAAGATTAAACTGAACATCAGCATTTTATTAACCGCCTCATTGCGTTGCCATTTATATCCTGTGGAGGGCAGCACTGTGCCGGAGACGGTTGTATTTGCTCCACATTTCACAGAAGAAGAAAAGGTTTATTTGCGCATGCGCGAGTCTGAAGCGTAGCAAAGTAAAATATCTTGGTTCAATTTAGTTTTTGTTGGAAAATAATCATTTAGTTTGCTTTAGACTTACACTGTACAGTTTATAGATACACATGTTCAGGACAGTTCTTTTTTTAACGCCCGGCTGAAAGTTCTTTTTCTTCTTCTCGTCATGAAATTCATCTTTAACGAGGCTTTTGTTTTGAAAGTTTTGTCTCCGCCGGGGTTTAAAAACAAGGAGGGAAAATCTTCACGGGACACAAGAAGCTAAAAACGCGCTGCAAATGTCTCTAATGTGTTTTTGCTTAGTTTGTTTTTCACAAAACGTCACTGTGGCTGTCAGGCTTGATTGACACGGTGGCCGTGGCGGGATGCAAACACCAGACTCTGACGGAGCTGAACAGTCTCAACAGCCGCTGGTTTTCTTTGACGTGGAGACGACTGGGCTGGGTAAGATCACTGCATGCTGTCATATCACTTATGACAGAGAAAACTTTATGTTTTGTAACCAGGGGGAGTTTCACAGTTATTCACTAACGTTACAGGTTAAATAAATGGCTGTCGTTAACAGTTCACTCTGCCTGCTAATGGAAGATACAGGAAGATTAATATCTGTCAGATGTTTCCTTTAGACAAAGCTTTCTATTTCAAATTGGGTCTGTTTAAAATGACTTAAGATTTTGCCCTATTGTAGTTAATTTAACTTGATAGTGGGATAGCAAGTAATGATTAAATTATGTTCTTTTGATCCATGTTTTAACTGCTTATTTTCAGATGTGAAGCAACACAGTGAAACCAGTGAATTTCTGGCAGTTTTGCATGATAAGAATAAGCAATTATTACATGTGTGGGCCATGAGCGAGACCATATAAATGTGGCTACAATCTTTTCTCGTTTTTTAATACATTTACATCTCCAGTGTGTCAGCCCCCTGTAAATATTGTTGCAATCAGTTTTATGATCAATTTTGTGAATGATTTTTGCTTCAGTGTGACGTCTTACCTTGATTTGTCAGATAGGCTATTTGATTTGCTGAATCAACCCCAAACTATTGTCTTCTTATTTTATCCATTAAAGGGATAGCTCAGATTTTCTTAAGTGGGGTTGGATGGGGGATTTATCCACACTTAGCATGTTACATACAGTAGATGTCAGTTGACACACCCCCAGGTTGGAGAAGCAGGCCGGAGTCCAACAGGGAAGCTAAGTCCCGTTTCATAGTCCACGCAAAGGCACGCAGATGCGAACGCATTGGGACGCATCGAGACATGAAGCGTGCTTGCGTCTCAAAATGTGTTGTCCATTTTTTTGATACGCGATGCAGTGACGTGTGTAATACCATGTGTTGCCAGCGGGGGTGATAATGCAAGTGACATACTTCAAATTAACCACTTTTTGTTATTCACAGAAGAAGCAGGTATGACATTTGGCGGGTGAAGAGGAAAAACTTTGCGAGCTCGTACGGGCACACTCCCATTTATATGACAGTTCTAGTGCCCTGCACTTTAATAAAATAGCAGTACTAGCTAGCTACAGCAGTACTAGCGAGCCGGAATGTACCGGTGACTCTGCTACCCCCTATTGTGTGAGCGATGTATTGCATTTTAAGTGTCGCCCGCGTCGCTTGCCTTCAATGTGCTGACTAAGAAAGGAAGTGCGTTGCTCGCGTTGCTTGCTCATGTTGCGTGCGTCGACTATGAAACGGCCCAAAGCGATGTCCTGCTGTGGAGGGGTCAGCAACTTAAGGTATGTTAGCAGGGTCTTAAAAAGTATTAAAAGTTGATAAATGTCGGAAAATTAAGGCCCTTAAAAAGTATTAAAAAATCTTAATCGCGATTTTATGAAGTATTAAATTTTCTTGGCATTCAAGCTTTGACAAAAAGTATCCATGAATGTATAATTTATTTTCCTCCTCGCGACTATTACAAACAATGATGTGTAGGTAGGCACACTCGGACTGCCACTCGGGGCCGTCCGCATACCTGTGCGACATCACGCGACGGTGCACGTACAGGCGCCAAACAGAGGAGCAAAAGACAATAAAAAATCCTTCTCATCTTATCTGAGTTCTGTTGTATGTTTGTGCTCCATAGATTTAATTGTAAACTACAACTGTTGAGTAAGTTAAAGATGCACTGCTGCTAACGACAGCTTGAAGTGGCGATGAGGTCTTAAGGTTTTTTTGGAAGGTCTTACAAAAGTCTTAAAAAGGTATTGAAATTAACCTCAGGATTCCTGCATACCCTGGTTAGCTAACTAAAAAAAGTCCCACTTTAAAAAGTCCACAACAGTTTAAGTGTACGCTTTATTTAGAATGTTTTCGCTGCTGTACTTTGCTATCAGACAATGATTTCCAGCTGGAACATGAAGCTCTTAAATCACTTTCCTCAGAGCCAGACTCTATTGAGAAAAACAGTGATTTAACATTGCTGAACAAAGGAGGTGCTGGTCTACAACTGCCTCATACAGTTATTTTGTTTGTGTTATTGAGTGACGTTGGTGTTTAAAAGCATGGATGCATGATATTGGACTTTTTAAAGATATGCCGATATATTACAACTCATTTGTTCCATAACCGCTATCAATATCGTTGTATTTGTTTTTTCCTCCACCTGAGTTTAGTGATCATCAAGTCTCTTCTCTAGTGGAATTAACATCATATTATATGTGCTTGCTTTCATCGTGATGGCCCACCAGCAGATGGAGACAGGAAATACAGTGCTTTTCAATGTATGTGATATTCATTCAATGTGCAAATTAAGTAAAAGCATGCTGGTCAAGTCCGATAGTTCATTTCAAAGCTGATATCGGCCGATACCGATTGATTAAACTGATATAGATTTTTTTAGATGGCTAAAATACGTTTTCTTGCGTTTCTTTTCATCAGAACTATCCCTTTAACAGATTCTCAGTTGATTTTTCCAGTTACTTAATGATCTCATCATGATTTATGTTATGACGTTAACTATCTCCCATGCCCAGTTACTGCTAATAAACAGCCTGTGACTCAGCCTACAATCACATTTGCTGTTTTAAACACCTAGTTTCCCTCCTCTAACACACATCAAGTGATTCCTTTTATCCACATGTTTTACTTCACCAGATAAGAGTTGTGAAATCGTCCAGCTGGCTGCAGTGAGTGGAGGCCACTCACTGAACCTTTACATCATCCCTCGGTCTCGAATACAGCGAGGAGCAGCCAAAGTGACCGGCTTCAGGGTCCGCAGACAGAGGCTCTACCTCCATCGCCAGCTTGTCCTCACCAACTCCCTGCGAGAGGTCTTGGTCTCCTTCATAGCTTTCCTCAAGATGCTCGGACGCCCACTTCTCATTGGCCACAACATTCGCCGCTTCGACTGTCGGCTGTTGGCTCGAGCTCTTGATGAACTTGACCTCAGAGCAGACTTTGAGTCAGCAGTCTTCGGCTGTGTTGACACTCTGCCGCTGGCTCGAGAGATGCTGAAGGACCGCGGCCTGCGGAGTTTCCGACAGGAGAACCTGGTCAGGGAGCTGCTGGGTGTAAACTACAAGGCCCATGATGCTTTGGAGGATGTGCGGGCATTACAGGCACTGTACAGTGTTCTACAGCCCACACCAGACTTGATTAGTAGGCATAGGTTTACTTTGGACACAATGGAGAACAAACCAGCTGCTAAATCTAAAGTGCCCTGTGAGCCTGCAGGACAGCGCCCCCTGTGGGAGCACTTCAGACAGACGGTGAAGGTCACAGAGAGCAGTGAAGACAAAGCTACAAAGTAGAACATGAGAAATCACTTGAAACGTCCTCTGCAGTGGAGCAAAAAGGAATGAATATCTGTTTGTGGAATCTTAAAGGTGGAGGAAAGCATACAAAGACAATGAATGCACATCTGGAAGTCACACTGTGCTACTTCAGCCTGATGCAGCACTTAGATCAGGGTGTGATGGGTTTTTTCCTCAGCCTTGTAGGGCCCTAAATTCTTCTAGACGACTTTGTCAAATTGGAGTTACCAATTTGTACGCTTCAGTCTCGCCTTGTTGATTGTTCCAACAACATGCACTTTAATTTATTGCACAGTACTGACCAGATTGGAGAAATGCGAGTCAGTCACAGCTGTAAATAAGACTTTCCTTATACATATGTTAAAATGGATGTTGAAATTTGGGTGCTCTTTGCCACCGCTTAAGCTCCTCACCATTTATTTCAGGAACAAGAAACAGACATGAGTATTTCTGAAAAAAAAATGGAGTCAGACATCTCTTTATGTGATTTATAAATGGTGAAAATGTCAGTAGTTGCAGGCAGATTGTTCCCCGGTTTTCTGTGGGAGGAAATAGTGCTGACTGTTATTGAGAAAATTCATGCACTGTTTTTTACTGAGGGTAAATAAATGTGTTAATAAATGTTTTGTATTTCTACAGTGTGTCCTAAATGAATCAATATTTCAGTAGGGCTGGGAGATATGGGTCATAACACAGTGATAATAATAATAGTAATAATGATAGTTTCATACAATACAATTTCACATAAAGTTGATTATTGTCCAGCTCTAATTTCAAGGTTTCAAGGTTCTCTGAGTTATTGGAAATTTAAAGGGTAACTTTTGTATCTCAAACTGGGCCCTATTTTACCATGTTTTGTCTATGTCTAAAGCCCCATTTCCACCAAATACTTTCAGTATGGTACCTTTGGAACCAACAGTAACCCTTCAGACATGGTACCTAGACCCTAGTGTTTCTACCACAAACAGTCCTCTTAAATGTGGGCGGGGTTGTTGTCACTCACTGCTCCATCCAGCACTCACTGTATTCCCTCATCAGCGGTGACACAGCAGGAAGTCTGTACCTTGTTTATCGTCCACAGAACGAGGCTGCACGCCGACTATTTCAGAACAAAATAAAACAGGCTCCAGTGAGAGTCTCTCTCCATGGGATATTTAGAAATAGCAGGTTTGTGCATTTAGTCCTTCTCAGGCAAGCTCAGGGGTTTAGTGTTGTCGTAGCCCACAGGAATGAGCTCCGCAGTGTTTTTTTTTTTTTTTCTCGAGTGAGGATTAGAATATATGCAGTTCACATAACCTGGGTGAAATTATATATAAAAATGCTTTAAGATCCACTCATTCCTAAAAGTGTCTGTCATATAAAAACTAAAGTAATGGTCAAAGTTGTCACAGTGAAATTTAAGGTGTGTTGATTGATTCACGTCGTCAACTCATGCATTGAGCAACACTACAAGTCAGTGTTCCACCTTAAAAACTGCTGGCAGTCGACCCAGTGAATTAAGTCATTTTTTTCTCAGTCTACAGCTGCTGCAGTCTGGTGGGTTTGGTGATGGTGAATTTGGGTCTGTTTCCGAGAAAAAAAAAGGTATCATACTCTCTAACAAAAAAAGTTAAAGAAGGAAAAAAAAAACACTTCTAGTGGGCATGAATTGGCAGTGAATGACTGCACTGGGTGGTTAACTGCAGACTGTTTTGGCGCCACCAGCTGCAGCCATGTTGCTCAATACTGGACCAATTTGTCACAGACAGACAAGACTTGAAAACAACATCTGATCTGATAAAAACAGAGGAAATAAAAGACAGTCTAAATGAACTTAAAACTCAAATTAAATCAGGAAAGGCTCTCTGATAAAAGTATGTTTTAAGAAGGGACTTAAAAGAGATCACTGACTCGGCCAACCTGATTTCTTAGAGCAGACTGATACTTGTTGAATATCGTTCGACTGGAATACTAAGGTAACAAATGGTACAGATGCAACACAAAACAATAAGGAGTTCAGACGGTGTAGTAACGGAACAAGGCTTTATTAAACCACTTTTACATACACATGTTCTCTGCAGTCCCAGGCTACAGCATCACCATATTCAAAAATGCTAAACCACGTCCTCATCTGGAGAAATACTCCAGGAAATGTTCTCACTATAGTTAAATAAAACAATTAAGGTGAAACATTGTGGCCTTCAGATTTGTGTGCATTTGAAGGAGTTAAATTATGTGTTAAGTCCTGGATGTACAGTATTAAAACTAAAAGGTGACATAAAACAAGACCAGTAACAAAGGTGTGTGTGATGGTTAAATCAAAAGTCAAAATTCAGTTGTTTGAAACTGCAGCCTCTACATGCTAACTACATTAAAACAGTTTGAAAAGATGGAAAAAATGGTTTGTTGACAAATATAACTAAAAGGTTTTACAATTATAGAGATACAGAAGGATGAATCTGAGGTAATGGTTCTTTAATCAAAAAGATGCTGTGATTTTAACTATCAACATCCTTCAGTCTCTTAATATTCTTCAGCTTCTCAACAATATTTAGCAACAACCAACAACTAAAGGTTTAGTGCATCTATAATAGGGACAAGCTTAGAGATCATCTGTCATCACTAACACGGTCATGACGTCGGTAAAAGCATCACCAGCGTTGGCTCGATTCATTGCAGTCATTCATTCAGGTCAAACTATTGAGAGAAATATTTACTCACTGGTAGGTTGGCAGGCAAAGAGAGCATTCATTCTCAAATATTTAATTCTAGATAACCTATAAAAATTGTTACAACAAGAAAATCCACGTCATGATTTATTGACGAACCCTGGTGTGAGCTGGAATATTACGCAGACGTTTGCACCATACTGAAATAATCTAGTTACGATATTGTACCGACATGATGGAAAGTGGTCACCATGGAGATTTCACTGTGACGACAAACCACTCACCTCATGATGTATTAATGTACAGTTAAAACCTTATGATGCGGTGCGGTTTCAGGGATCATTCCTCTTTAGCATGTAATGGCAAGTACTGATGAATCAGTACAAACAACAAAACATGCAAAGTCTGTAAAAAATTGGCGTCAAATACTCAAATACAGACACGTTTGTTGCTATAATACTAGAAAATTAAATGCAGCATTTTGTTGTACAACTGTACAAGATGTGGGTGTGTTAACGGGCTCGGGTCAAATTGTATGTAACAAGCAGCAGTAGTGCATTTTCAGTCGTATATAACTTTTTAATTAAAATGCATTCCTGATTCCCATGTAGTCGTGCTTAAAGGGATAGTTCGGATTTTTTTAAGTGGCATTGTATAAAGAACTTATCCATAGTCAGTGTGTTACCTACAGTAGATGTCGGTTGGTACGCCTCCATTTTGAAGAGGCAGGCAGGAGTACCTCATACAACCCCAATTCAAAAATCCAAATCATCCCTTTAATGGGACGGCAATAGTTAGTGGCCCCTTTTGTTTTGTTTTTTTTTGTTATTTTTCTGATTTTTCACTACCTTGAGAAGACGTTTCCAGACCGTAAACATGCGCTGGTAACAGTTAAAAGCAGTAATACTTCCCAGGGTTGACTTCACCGTGACAGTCGAGATAGAAGTCCCTCTCCAGTATAACTGCTCTAAATCAAACATGCACAGGCATCTCAGTATTACAATATATACTCTCAACTAATATTTTTTGTCCCAGAGGTGGATGTTTACTTTGTTTAAGCTGAACTAGAATGATGAAGCAGTTAACTGCACCAGTGACCCTGTGGAAAGGCTAACTGCTGCCTGTCTCATATGACAGATATGCTCAGTCCTCGACAAGGTGGTTCTGTAGTTGAGCAGTGATTGGTGGTGGGCTGCACCAGTGTAAACATATCCCCCACCCTGCTTCAGTGCTGTTTGAATGTATAATATCTTTATCTCAGATTGGAGGATAAAAACGTGCAGCTGTAAGTGTATTAGGAATAAAAAGGGCAACCATTAGAAATAACTATAATAATAATAATTATAAATTGTGCATTAACAATACCTTGAGGTCCATTTAGGGTTTTTCAGGCTTTTAAATGCACCACACTGTAATCACCAGTAGATGGAGTTTGCTCAGTGTTTTTTGTTTTGTTTTAAGAAATCAATCTCACCAAAAGGTTTATATTAACTGTTATAAGGATTTCTATCGCATTTCATGATCTTAATCAAGGGATAGTGTTTGCCGTGTTGTCATGGAGTTGTAGATTTAAAAATATCCATTCTTCTGAGCATTTAAAGCCCAGTTCAGACCAAAGATTTGTGATGAGATGAGTTGAAACAGGCAACTACTTGCAATGTGCTGGTCTGCAATGTTCCAAAAACCTGCCGGTTCACACCAATGCAACTAGACGAGGCGGTGTATCATCACTATGCAACAACACTCTGTACTTCCATTCTGATTTCCAGCTTTTCAGGCTTATTTTGTGGCTGAATATAATTTGTAGCTTCTTAAAATATGAATGAGGATAGTGATGGTGAGATACTGGCTGCAGGTGCATTTGTAGTGGTGATGAAATGGCAAAAGACAGAAACAAAACCAGCATCAGATGGACTGTAACCATAGTCAATACGCCACCAACATCAATTCATCAGTCAGTGAGAATTTGTGTGTGTGTATGTGGAAACAGAGGGCGCAGTAGGGACGGAGCACCTGCTCACACTGCTGTGACTTTTCTCTGCAACATTCTAAAATGGTTTTGTCTTGTCGCGAATCTTTGGTCTGAGTTGGGCTTAAAGGACTTTAAACTCCAGAGCTGGTGGACCTTATAAGATTGTTTTCCCAACTGCTGTCTCCAAGGTCAAGAATAAATTCTCATGCAACATTTTAATCCCTCGATCTTCAGGAACCTGAGGATGGAGTGATGTGAGCACTGTCATGTGTCAGTGTTGTGGACTTGTTTTACTTTTTATTCTTGGCGTGTCTTCTGTCCAGCACCTATTATCAATTTGGGATGTGCACATCCTCTGATTTATAAGATGTGATTGCATCATTAAAGGTAAAAAAGACAGTTAAAACCAATTAAAATCCAGCAGCAGTGGATTACTGCTGGATTTTAAAGCTAAAGAGCACTGCTGGAGCAGTCCGCAGGTCGAGTTTGGGTCGGGGGGAGCAGCGGGCACAGACAGGCATCAGTAAACTGTGTCTGAAAGCTCCTTTAACGTACTACCTACTTCAAAAGTGCACAGCAATCATTGGGCTCAATCCTTAACGCAATGTCGACCTTTGTGAGTCGAACCAGAGGAAAACTAACACAGGTAGTATGAGCTTTCACACACAGCCTCACACTCACAGCTACAGGAGGCAGCAGGCTCGGAACATGCTCATCCCCGACTGGGAGGTGATGTGCAGGGAGACGCTCTCGTTGGCCGAGACGAACAGGACGGTGCCCCGCCTCAGTGTGACATCGGAGAGGGCGGCTGCAGAGGTTGCCGTGGCGTCACCTTCAATGACCAGGAGGATGCTGGCGCTGTCGACTGGAGCGACAGTGTACTGCTTCACTGAGGCTGGGACCTGCAGGATGGACGGCACAGAACGAGGTGAGAAAGTTTCTGTTTGCTCTTAACAAATTACCAGTGATTTAAAAAAAAAAGAAGAAAAAAAGATTTATTATATCCACCAGTCTGTATCTACCTTCTGTGCATATGCTCGACTGTAACAGACCATTTGATGATGTTCTCATCAGCACTGGTGCGTGTGTATTTAGTATGTTACGTAGGTTCATGTGGGACAGTTTTATATCTGAAATTTGCTGAAGATTGTTGAAACCACCTATATTGAGCATGAGTTCTGGGTCTCCAGAACTTTTGAAGCCATCCACAGCAGACGCAGGAAAAACCACAGGTGTAACAAATGACATAAATCACGAATGCTGCATTTTATTTATGTTTAGCAAGCCAAGATCCAGATGTCACGTAGGCTCTCTCTGCCATTATAAGTCAGACTGTGTGTTACAAAAGAGGTGTGTGGGAGGATATTTTGGCATGTCACAGTAGTTGCAAATAATTAAATCAATGATGGCATTTTAAGCTAAAACTTACTTTTTCTCCAAATTATAACCTTCCAGCTTTTTACTGTCAAGTCATACAACACTTTTAAAAGGTGTTTTTTCCCTTTTTTACCTCTTAGATGAGTATTACGTTGACACACCAGCCAAATTTGTAATTCATTAAATAATTAAACTTATAAATTACTTAATTTCTAAAAGTTCCTCTTCAGAAATCATGACCAAGTTACTCAAGATAATCCTCAGACCTTGTTGTGAGCTGTTTCTTGTAGGAACTATTATACCCCTTTTCCACTTTACCCTTTTTTCTTTTCTTTTTAGGCCGTGCCGAGTAAAGTAATGCCACGCCGATTTTTGTTCTCATTGTTAGTTTAGACTCGCCATGCCACGCCAAGCCACGCCAAGCCACGCCAAGCCACATCAGAGATGGACCTTGTCAGGAGTAGGTCCAAAAGCCGGGCCGTCCGCACTCAAGCGTGTAGCAGTGTGGCGCGGACTGCAGCAAACCTCTGATGACCCCCCTGCTCCCCCTCAAACAGACTCCACTCACCTTTGTCTGCAGGTGACCAGAGACAAAGGTTTTTGTGTACTTTTGTAGCTTCTAACTGAATCTGTGGTTTGGAGTTTAGTTACCTCCAGCGTCCTTTTTTTACTTTAGATAACTGCTTTATTTTACCTTTAGCTTATACATAACAAAATAAGGGGGGACTTTTATTGTGAAGAATCTATAGGAAATGAAAAGTGTCATTACTAAATTAGCGGAACTTTGTTAGCAGCTTTTCTGAAATAAAGACAAGTCTAATAATACGGCAGGGAGGAAGAGTAAAAGCAGGAACAGCCACAGTGAGATGTTGCTGAAGAGCTGCAGACAACAGGCTCTTACTGCACCTCTGCAAACAGCTCACCTCCAACAGGTAAACTTCTTTTACCTGCCCTGCTGTGGAAAAAATAGTTTGCTACTCAGCTACCCCCACCGAATCATTGCGCAGAAGGAAGCATGCGACTACAACAGATGAGAGGCTTGTGTTTGTGACAGCCCGAGATGTAAGAGTTGATAGCGTCCTCATTAGACTAGCAGTAGATATGCGCTTTCTTTTGGGCAGTGATTTGACTGGCAGGTGTTGTTTGGTAGAAAGAAAATAGTTCCTACATGAAACTGCTCACAACAAGGTCTGTGGATTATCTTCAGTAACTGGGTCATGATTTCTGTAAAGAGACATTGCTGTTGAGGTTTTAAAATGAATTTGTTGGCGCTTTGAGCACCACAAGCCGAGTGCCATCTATTTCCATTATATCGGAGAGAAGGCAGACATCTCTACAGCTGATATCGACAACACTCTGCAACTCACACCAAAACAATCTAGACTGATAAATAGCACTACAGGTAAGGAAAAATATGTGTTTTTGAGTTTGGGGTGAACTGTCCCTTAAAAATAACATCCACTCCACAGTTAGTGAGGTTTACTTCCTCCATCACCATTCAGTTTTAATTTTTCCCTCCTGAAGGTTTATCATTTAGTTAGCTGAGGTTTCCTACCTGTATCCTCATCACAGTGAAGTCTGGCACTGGGGGGTCGTACAGGGACACACAAGGATCTGAAGCGTCCTGGACACATGGGAAGATTTTGGAGCTGGCGGGGGCTGGGCTGTAGTTCAGCATCTCGCACAGCGTGTTGACATCAATGTATTTTGGAGTCAGACCAGCTCTCACCGTGTTGTCTGAGCAGGCCATACACTCAATACAGTCTGGATGGACGGATGAATAGACAGAAAAGGAGAGCGAGTTTTAAATAAGCAAAGCGAGCAGTCGACTCTCCTTCAAATGGAAAAATCAATTCTCAAATACTCTTACAATTGTACGTACAGTCAGCCTGTGAGGTTAAATGCATTACAGAGCTATTTCTTCTTCACTTGCTTTATCTGCTTTCATAGTAAGTGATTTCCAAGAATGCCTTTTGAATCTGGTGTGAACTTGCACTCAACTGTGGGATGAATATGTGGGTGGACATAGCTAACATGTTCCTTCATTATCATGACACACACTTTATTTTGACGCAATCCTAAATACACCATCCTGCTGCAGGAAACTATGACAGGGGCATCAAATGCGTATTAATCTGCAACTGAAAATAGTCCCCATGAATGCTCTAGACTATTTACTCCTGTTACTGATCATTTAAAAAAGATGAAATTATATATTTGTGACCCACTGTTTCGGATTCATATCTTCAGAGGGATCCTGGGGGCTTGGAGCTGAGTGCCACAAACAAGGTAAAAAGTCAGAAAGCATTAAGAGACTCATTAACACATTGTCAGTTTTTGGCTTTTTCATGGGATTGGTTGACAGAACAATACAGAATAATGCTGGCCTTATCCTTTAATACTCCTACAGCTTCTCTGTTATACAGGAGCACTGATGGGAGGCTGAAGTGTCAGCAATGTAGGAATTCATGACCCTGCTACTGTTGTACCCATTCAGCCTGGGTAAGATCTACAGCACTGAGGCTACATCCACACTAACACGTTTTCATTTTTGAAAGCGTAACTATTGCTGCATTGTCACCTAGTGTCCATGCCACTCTGGCGTTTTGGAGCCCATAAACTCAGAAGTTTGAAAATGCTGTTGACCCCGTCTGAATTTCAAAACGCCGGGGCTGTGTTTTGGTCTGGACAGTTGGAAGCGGAGACTTTTAAAAATGATGACGCAGACACCCTTGTTCGCTTCCCGATTGGGTCTTATCGTCACAACGTGTCAAGTCAAAACATTACAGAGTCTACATATATTTTGTGATGTCATCCTTAGGCCTCTATCAGACAGAGGTCGAGGCACACTGCCTGCCCCAGTCAGACAGAGCTCTTTTTGCAGCTTGCTCCTTCTTTTTTTTAATTGTTGCAAGGCAACCACCGAATCACCTGTCCATAGCTTAACCACTGTTTTGCTGTGAAGTAAACTCACAGATCTGTACCTTAAAATCTGCACTTGGGGACTGCACTTGGGAAAAACAGATCTGTGTGGTTACATGGGACTCCCAGAAAGAATACAAATCACTAGCTGATCCAGGAGCTTTGCCTGGATGATACTTGATTCAAGGCTTATTTTAAGATGAGTCGCGGACAGTTTGGCAATCTGCTGTGAATCGTAGGGCCTAATTAGTGTTGGTTAAATGTTATAAAGTAGGTGAGGCTCTCATTTGTTCTAATGTGTCTTGCAGCTTGCCTAGCAGGGTGATGATTAAAGTGAGCAACATTAGCTTAACGCTGTATGCTACCACTTGCTGTCATCACCACCACAGAAGGCCCGCCTCTCAATTCCTCCAATTGGACAATGGGAAAAAATGCCAATGACGTCAGGCACTTCTCTGCTCTGGGTTGAAATTTTTTCAGCTCGAGGTAAGGTGCTCCTGCAAAAATGTGAGGTGCATAGAGCAGAAAGAATTATCAATTCTTCTGGCAACAGATAATACCCCTGGTGACATTACCGCTCTAACATGTTGCCATATTTGTTTCGCAATGACTCCAAATCTGTGTTAAGCCATCTTGACCGCCTTATACTCATGTGATCCGATCAAAGAAATCTCTTTAACCATCTCCAGAGTATTTTACATAACTAAGTGACCAACCACAGAGTTAACCGTTTTAAAATACCATTTCAAATGAAAACTTTATTTACCTCCGTAAAGGTAAGCGTGGGGCTCGCTGGCTCCCAGGAACATGGCCTGGCCTGGCTCCAGGACTATTTGGTTGAGGAAGTAGATGGAGAAGCAGCCGATGTCTCCGGGATACTGGGAGTGGAGACGGAGCAACAGATCACCATTGCTGCTTGATGTGTCCTTCCCCGCTGCACCTGGAAGAGTCATAAACATCAGTAAACTGTGTTTCAAAACAGCAGAACAACTGACCTGTGCTGTGTTTAAGAGCCCTCTATTTATAGGATTAGATAAATGTCTGATATTGGCGCCTACCGGTGGTAGTATAAAAAAAAAGACACTGCTTATTTCCCTCTGTGACTCAGGCACGCTGGTATGAACGGACTAAAGCAGTATTTTACTGCTTTTACAAAATAGCAGCTGCAAGTTTTTTCTAAGCTTCAGTATGTACCACAACTTGGTGGATGTTTTTTTTTAACTGGTGAATATCTCTCTTTCTAACACACTTGCATAAGATACCAGATTGTTGACTATGATGAAATTGTTTTCACATATTGAGCAATCCTCTCATGGTCAAATAGACTGCATGCAACGGAGAAAAGAACTGACTAAAATGCTATCTCTACACCCTGGTAATGCTTAACGTCTAACCAACTACACTGACTAGTAATAAAAGCAGGTATTCTCCATTTGTTTTCAGCTGCTTGGGGCTCCATTAGCTCCATCCCTCAGCCTCCTCACCCTCTTCAGTGACTCTCTTGACCAGCATGTTGAGCTGATCTACGAACACCTTCTTCTCACAGTTCATCATCCTGGTGAAGCACTTCTTCAGCACCTGGCTCGTATGAGCTGCGTCTCCCACACTGCATCGCAGCTCCTCCGCTGCCTCATTTCCCACCAAAGCGTGGAACTCTGGGACAGCTGATGGATGCACACATACATGCAAAAGGTATGAATTTAGTTTAAGTGAAACATTCACCCTTCAGAGAACAGTACTAAACCTCCTCACCCATTATAGTGTAATGTACAGTATCTGTACAGGTTTGACAGCATAAAACATTTATTTCCCTGTTTCTCCAGTAACTGCCCAAGATCGATCCACAATCCTCTAATGACCCTGTGGGACTTTGGGACTCACATTTAAGGAACCCCAGGATCTCCTCCACTGGTCTGAAGCCACAGAGGCCCTGAAAGCGGGTGAGAGCGATGGCCATCTCTGGCTTGTGGTTGTTGTCTGGATAGTGCTCCGGAAACTGAGCATGGAGACGAGCAGCTAACTCCTAACCAAACCATAAAGACAGAAAGGGAAGAGGGTTACTAAAGAGAAGTGAGGATAGAGCATGAGTGTGTAGACTAAACTCAGTTCAGTTCATACACAAACCCAAGGATTATACAATTCGAACCTTCTAAATAAAAGAAATATATGAGCATGACTTTACATGACAACTAAAATAATTGTATTAACACTCCCCATCACACGGCACTCTTCTCTTAAAATAGGCAAAATGTCTTAAAAGAGTCCAACAATCAAAATCGATGCAGCAAAACCAGAAATATCATTTCTACTCCATGCATTTTTCTGAAAAACTTGTGCCTACATTACCTTTAATCCAAATTGGCCACTGATAATTTAGTGCAAGATCTGGGTGTGTTATACTAATAGTAGCAGCTAATGTTGCCTTGCTCCTCTAGCCTCAAGCAGAGATGACCCAAGAAGCGCGCCAAGCTTTGAGGACAATTTTCATAGTGGCTAAATAGTGGCACATGCTGCCATTGAGCCAAAAAGACTTTTCCCACAGACTTAACTGGGAAAGAGGTGTCTGTAAATCAGTGGATACATTTTTTTTTTTTTTGAGCGAAATCGTTTCACTTTCAGGATTTAATCAATTTGGTCCAATGACATTTGGAAAGTCTAGAAGAGCCACAAAATAAATCAAACTATCCCCATTCAAGTTAACAGAACGCTAAAACAGAAGAAGTTGGCTCGGTTGGTGGAAGTCTTTAATGTGCTTGGTCTATTGGCCTAATGATGTGCCCATCATCCAGGTAACATCACTGCATGCTTTATTCCAGAGCTGGTTGGCCATCTTTGACCTTTTGTAGGCTCAGTCACTGATATTTGTTCATTTATAAAGCCATACTGGGTAAACACCCTTCGTACATTTGTACTTTGATTGAACAGAGATCTGACTGTAGCTATAGAGTGAAATCTCTAGACTCAGTTTTGTTGTCTGTTCCTAGTGCTCAGACTGAGCTGGGACAGAAAGCGTTTATGTGCTCTGCTCCTCTCACTTGGAATAACCTTCAAAAAGATTTGAAACTACATGGATTGTTCTCTGTCTGATTTTAAAGCTACAGTACAAGGATGAACAAATCGGTTGGTTCTTGTCATTATGCGTAGGTGTTCTAAGGTGCATTCTCAGCTGCAGTCAAAGCAAACATTAAGCTGTTTCAATCCAGGCTAAATGATTTCCCAATTCAGACTGAGTCATTTTATGCAGAATCTGAACACTGTGTAGGTGTGTGTTTGTGTACTCACTCTGTTAGGGTGGGCCTGTATGGACAGGGCAGTATTGACAGAGAGGACTTTGAAGAGGAAGGGCAGCTGTCCCTGGAAGGTGTCTTTGACCTTGGAACCCAGGCAGGCAGGAAAGTGGGCGATCCACTGGCCCAGAGTCGTCTGTGCGATCCTATTGTCTTTAATCTGGGCATCGCCTTTTGGGTGGGCACCCATCCACAGCTTGAAGAGATCACAGAGATTCATACATTATGTCCAATATTAGAATTTCATAACACTCATGATGGCAATAGTGGGCTGAGGTAGACTAAAGGTTGCAGAAGTGGGTTTGTGACTGAAAGGTTTATTGGTCATAATGCTGATCTAACTGGAAAAATAAAAGTGGGAAAGAGTGTGTAATGATGAGTGCTGAATCCCAATTAAAAATATAACTACTCTCAGACCAAATACAACTTAAAAAATACAGACTTGGCAGTTCTTTGCCTCCCTCCTTTGTCCTCTCTTAACAAGCATCCTGAGGGAGTCCTAGTTGTGCCCAGGCCCTCTCAGAAAAAGGGCTGGTATCATACATTTACATTAAAAGGTCCAGTGTGTAAGAATTAAGGGGATTTAGTGGCATTTCTTGGTGAGGATACAGTTTGTAATCAGCTGAAACTTCTCCCCATTAGAATTCCTTCAGTGTTCATCATTCAGGAGGTTTTTATCAGGGGGCCAATTATCTGCAGAGGTCTCTTCCTCTCTAAAACAAATGGATCAGGTGATTTAAACCAGGGAAACCAGTAAATTAAAAATGTTTTTATTGTCTGTACCGAGGGTACGCACAATGTTTGGCAAGCAGGTCAGGGTGTGTTTTAGCTGGTCTTTGTGGTCGTGTGTAGTTGCCCTGCAATTTTATGGTTCACTTCTAGTATATATTAACACACATTTTGGCTTTTCTTTGTAGTAATCTTATCTTATATTTTATATTGCTTGTTTTAGAGCTGTATATTTTTTATTCTGTAATTTTGTTCTGTGTTGTCTGTAACTTATGTTGCTGCCTGTCTTGGCCAGGACACTCTTGAAAAGGAGATTTTTAATCTAAGAAGGTTTTTCTGGTTAAATAAAGGTTAAAAAAGAATTCATTTAAAAACACTGAATAAAGCAGATTTACGTTAGAAATCAGTGTTTCTCTGACGCTATTGAGCTCGTCCAAAATAGGCCGCGAACCCGGCACCTGCTAACTTGTGTTCACCTTTTTCTCTGATAATTTAAGATCCAGAAATTCAGGAGGTTTTACCAGGAGTCAAATTATTCGTAGAGGTCTCTTTCTCTCCAAAATAAATGGATCTAGTAATTTCACCGGTAAAAACACTGAATGAAGCAGTTTCACATTAAAAAAAATAGTGTTTTTCTGATGCTGCTAATCACAGAGGGGCTGCTAACTATGGTGATGGATGTGAATGTGTTCGTTTATCCATTCTGAGCTACTGTAAAATCATGGTGATGCAACACGGTGGACTCTACAGACAAAGGACCTCACCTTATGTAGATATACACGGCTCATTCTAGCATAACAAAGACACAAATTTATCACCCTAAATCCTCAATGCTGGACCTTTAAATCAAGTTATCTAATGCTGTAATCCAGTGTGATTTCTACTCAGTGAGAAGAGAGAAGAATCCAAACCATCTCACTGGGTGTAAATCACTCTGGATAAGAGGGTTACGCTAATGCCTTACATGTAAATGAAGGATACTGTCTCAAGGACACACACTTGTTGGTGGACAAACAAGGACTGCACCAGTGAGGCTCAAATTTGTAGCCTTTTTGGTACAGGGTGGTCTCTTTAACCAAAGTCCTGGGTCAGACCTGAGCAGTCTCAGCAATCTTACAACACCATATTGTCATTTTTTGCTTTGTTTTATAATCGCACAGATAACTTTCAGTGCTTTCAGTCTTGTTTCATTGTGTTAACATAAAGCTGCTTTTGAGTAAATCCTGTTACGTTGCAAAACATACATACTGTGTGAACTTGTCGTCACTGCTAGATTATGTCTACTTACGCTCAGGCAAAACTAAAATCTACTCAATAAAAACACTAGATTATTAGGACATATATCTCATAGTCTACCAGAACAATAAGTCACATACTGTACTGTAGGATTAAATATCCAAACCACCCTCTGACTATATGAGCATGAACCATGGCATGTGACATTAAAGTGGCCTGTGGTATGTGAAAATGTCAACACTACTATAACCTGAACTAATGACCTTTATGAAAAAACCCTGCAGAGCTGCTGTGGCTAAATAAAGACTTCTGAAAGATATGGAGAGAACAGGGCTCCCTGGCAAGATACCAAGCAGCAGCACCACATTTTAAACCCTGGAAATGATACCAGTTTCACACTGCTTTGTCAAACCAAGGAGTGATGTATTTTGTAGTGAGTGTGAGCACTGCAGAGCAACAATTCAGAATCTTAAAGATCCTATAATGCTGACAATAAGTGCCACCGTCTGCTGCTACATGAGTGTAGTTATCCTGTTTAATGGGGAGCCTAAAATTTAATATCAAAGTTTTTAAGTTATATGTCAGAAAAACTGGAAGGAAAAGCATTTTTTTAACTCTGTATCAATGTTTAAAAATTTACATTAACTGATTTTGAACTGAACTGCTGCTCACAGATCAAAAAAGTTCAGCTCAGATGTCTAAGTTTTGTTGTATAATTGCCTAGAGTTGGTTCATGTTCTCACGGCAGCATTTACAAGCGGACCAGATCAAATGCCTTGTGTGAGAAAGCTGCTCGATTGGTCAGAATTTCCATGTGGGAAAAATCCAGGAAGTAAAGAAGAGTACGCTTGCAAGATAAATGTGACAGTTTCTAATGTCACAATGGAGGGACAACTATGCAGGTTGATTTTAGCGCTGCTCATCGTGGACTATATTGCTGCCATTGTTCATTTTAGTCAAACCATACAGTTTGAAAACGAGGTGCGGCTCCAACTAGAAAACAATGTTTTGATGCATTGGATGTGCTGAATGTGCATATTAAGGCAGTACAGGAGGAGGTGCACATTAATAATCCTCCAGGACTGTAACATGCTCATGTTTAACCCAAACAATGTGTCATGTGACTGCAGTTGGTTCAGATCGAAGTCAGAACACGTTCTCACAGTCTCGTTTTGTTGTGTACCCGAGTTCGATTGCTGTGTCCACACCTGCCCAAATGAACTACACTTAGGGGGCAAACAAACTTGAGTTCATTTATACCGAACCAAACAGGGCCGGTGTGAATGCAACCTTCAAGGAAAAGTCACCAGGTCGTAGATGTATGACGCACATTTTAGTCAAAGAAATCTTAAAACCTTTTTTTAATCCGTGTACAGGCTACACATTTTTAAAATCAGAGAATGTACAATCACTAGTCCTAGAAGAATGATGTATGAAAAATAAAAATGTTAAAAAAATAACAGTCATTTATTTCCTTATCTGACAAACCCATAAGGAGCCACTGTGGCTCCGGAGCTGCAGGTTGCCTACCCCTGCTCTACACCAGTGGTTCTCAAATGGTGTGCTGTGATGCCAGTCCAGGTGTGCCGTGGGATTCTGTGATAACCACACATTTTTATTGCAATATTCAACTGGGCCTGTACAAAAAGTTATAAATGAATTCTTTATTGATTGTATCAGTATGCTGTGCACACCCATTTCCTGAAAAGAGGCAAACTCTACCTAAAAAATGTAATTTAATTGAAAAAACCTTCCCAGGAAATTTGTCGCCATTAAAGCGTGGAAATTCTAAGTATGTGACACATCAAAAGCCCTGACTGGCAGCCAGTGTGAGGGATGATAACATTTAAAAGGAGAAAGCCGTGAGCGAGACATTGGATCGCTTTATTGCACGGAGCAAATCACAACAAAGCACCAGTGAAGATAGCCTATCACATAAAGAAAGGAGAAAAGTAGACAGTATCACATAAGCTACCTGTCTCATTTTTTGTTCTTTTTATTGTCTTATATCGTGATAACACACATTACAGAACAGATGTAAATACAGGTGTGCCTTGAGATTTTGGGCTTGACCTTTGGGGTGCCATGGGCATAAAAAGTTTGAATACACTGCTCTAGACACTAGTGTTGCACGGTATACCGGTACTAAAATAGTACTGCGGTACTAGAGTATTCCAAACGGTACTATACTGCATTTGGAAAATACCGGTACTTTTTAAATTGATTCAATTCATTAATTTATTTAATTCATTTATGCACACAAACGCCTTCCTTGTTCCTACTGGTGTGTATGACAACGCCTGTATCAACATTTGCGGCTGGCACACGTGAAAAAAGGCAAGAGAAAGTCTGCCTCGCAAAGGGAGACATCACGAGACAATACCAACTTGGTGAAACATTTGAGCAACCAAACCATGATGACCGTACCGAGGTACTTACCGAACCATGATTTTTTTTTGGTACTGTTACACCTCTACTATTTATTGTTCTAAAGGTTTGTATCCAAAAGGACTTTTCCTTAGGGAAAGTACCGAAAAGTATCTAAATTCATATTGGTATCGGTACCGAAACAAAGATTTTGGTATCGTGACAACACTACTAGACACTCAGCGGGACATTCTTTCCATTGAGTGCTTGCATTATTAACTAATGTTAAATAACAGGTAAAATCATTCTATTACAACCTGGAATTTGTAATTAAAAACACGTATTTTAACAGTAACCTCCAACAGATACAATACACCCCCATCGCAAGTGTCTCGCTCAAAGACCAGTGTATTTATAATAACCTTACCTCTGCGTAGGGCTTGCCATCCTCAACAACAGCCAGTGGGTCTCCACCAACCACGAGTTTGGCCACCTCGCTGTCCAGCCCGACCTTTCCCCACGCATAATGCTGCACGGCACAGGTCAGGGGAAACACTGAGGAGGGACCACATTCAATGTGTGAATTCTTTAAACAAAAAGTGAATACAGAGCTAAATCCAGTATATTCCAAGCTATTTAGACCCGTGCAAAAAACACAACTGCCTTTTGTTAACCTTCCTGCGAGTACTCTGTCTGAGCCTGTGTCTCCCACTGATTGGCTCCCTGTTACAAACTGTTACCCCATATTGGTAACAAAAAGAGAAAAGCAGAAAGTCGCTTTAATCAATGATAAACCGGTTTGTTAACAACATCAGCAGCATTGCAATTTAAAAAGGCGTGGCATATTTTGACAGGGAGACATAATCCCACACAGCCTGCCCAAACATCCTCTATAGACTCATTATAACCCAGGAGAAACGGGGGGGCACATTCCGCTGGGGATACATTATTTGGCGGAACACCGGGCAGCTGACGATGCAGCGTTCATTGACAGAAACACACAGTAAGCAGGTTTACATTCGCCCGTCGGTTTCAAACACACACTCTTCGTATGGCTGCAGGGATGTTATATGTGGTTAAAGGCCTGGCGACGTGTTATTTTGGCTGTAGCGCTAACAGAGCAGCTCTAAACACTGTCCGCCTGCCGTTAAACAAACAAAACACCGGCTGAAATATTGATGTGGAGCCTCAACAATGAGCTTTTATCGCTCAGTCTGTCGCGTTAATAATCTCTATGAGGTGTCGTGTGACGTGAATAAACCGCTGTGACATTAGCTAGCTGAATGTTTAACGACGAAACAGATAATTTTGAGGCAGTTCTGAAGGAGAAGAGCTCACTCACCTCTCACTTCCTCCATGGCTGCAACGTCGGCTGGCTGTCAGACCGTTGGTGTCTGGTGACGTCACGACTCGACCCGCGACTTCATGGAGGGTTTTTTTTTTTTTCAGTTTGATCAGAGCTGCTTACGTCACTATAAACCCAATAATAAAATCAATTTAATTAATAATGTTTCTTGTGTTATTACAGTCCTTAAAGCTGTACAGAAGCTTGATTTACTGGTGTATATGTGATCCACTGAAAATAAAAAAAATAAAAATTATTATTTATTATTTTTATTTAAGTTTTTCTTGATTTTGGACCAGTCCAAGACCGCCAAAAATCAATACAGATAACAAAATTATATTTGAATAAATACACACATTAAAATTAATAGTGATGATAATTAAAAAAAAAAAGAAAAATGTTTTAAGAATTATTTTGTAAACTCTGCACTGTTTTTATATATTTTTTTTATCTGTTTATTTACAGGTATTATATCTTTATTTTATTATATTATATATAATTAATCATATGCCCAGTGCCAGCCCTAGCACATTTGTTGCCCTGATTCCCTCCCACCAAAAGATGTCACTTCCTGCAGCTAAACAGTCAAAGTACTGCATGTGAATTACCAAAATGCATATATGTGTTAATTTTCTTTCTGTAACATGTGTTATAATCATATAAATCAATAACTGATTTAAAAAATTACAAATGAACTTTCTCAGAAGAATAAACAATAAAATAAAAATGTCATTGTAAAATATACAAAGTAATATAGTGGGTCGGCATAGCTAAACTATTGTTCATTTTGTGATGAAAGCACCAAATTTGGTACACTCATTGCTGAATATATGTTGAATGAATGGCATCGCAAATTTTAATTCTGAGGACTGTGGCAGCCAGTGGTTATATCATATTCTAACTGAACTAGGGATGCACTGATTTTTGAAATAGCTGATACCGATATTCGATTTAATTGTTAATCTTTCATGTCTAATTACTTGCAAAAGTCCTTACAGCTGTACAGAGTACTAGATTTATTGGTGTATATGTGACCCATTGAAAATAAAAAGTATAATGTTTGAAACATATTTTAAGTATTATTTTCTATGCACCGTTTTTATTTTATTTTGTGTATTTTTTATTGGTTTATTCACGGGTATTATATCTTTACTTTATTATATCCTCCTGAGAACCAGTGTCCTCATATGAAGATATCACATTTTGGGTTTACTTGACCTTGACCTTATTCTACCTCACTTAGACCTGTTGTCCTTCTTCATGGACACATTTTGTGCCATCTAGTGGTAGTAAGAGCACAATACGCCAATCCATGTAAAAACAACATGGCAGCTATCCCTGCCAAGTCAGCCTGCAGCTGAACCCGACATAAAAGTAGACAGGGCCAAAAACCTGATCACATTTTATATTTGAAACTTATTTATTTATGATTGATAATATTTGTAGTTGCAATCGTACACACAGTATTGTCGAGCCTCTATCTGCCAGTGTGCATGGTGTCTGTAAAATACAGTATAATTTGTTGTTATTCAAACCCGGCTGGAGCAAACCCTGCTGTGAAGTAATGGTTTTCTGACATGTTCAACTGGAACATGGTCAACGTGTGTGTGAGTTCATTCCCAGCTCTAGCTTTCAACTTTCAAGGTAAATGGAACACAGCATTTGGCCTGACCGTTCCTGCTTGTGACATGCCCTCAACTTCCAAACTCCATGCACCCAGGCTGGTTTAAAAGGCAGGTTTTCTATCAGATAATACCTGGATAATACTCATAACTGCTGTTTTAATGAGCTGAGTAGTGCTGTTCATGATATTCAAAATGGCCTTTATGTATAAAACAGGTCGAGTGGCCCTTTAATTTTGTGGTTAATCTTTTTTCCCCCCTCCAAATAAACATCCAATGGTTAATGTAGAAATTTTTAACCATCACCTTCAATAAAATACCAGTTCCTACTGTTGCTTAGCAACCACATTATGGAGCCACTAGTATCTAGAACTATGCTGTGTAGCAGTGATTTTTGTTGTGATGATAAATTCGTTATAAAGAACATTTTAATGAAGCACTTAATCTACATTAACAATACATTATTGATGTAAAATCCACAGGTGGTGTGCTTTGCTACATAAATGTTCTATGTCAACTGACAAGTTAAAGGGTTGCTCCTCCTATTTAGTATTGCTCTTCCATTAAGTTGAGAAACTTGTGAGGGGCAGATTTTCAAATAGAGTGGTCAAAGTGTATGCAGCAGAGGTCAAGAGCCTCACATTTTAGTCCTATGAGACTAGTCCCATAATGTACCTCAACGGCACCTCTCATTAGACCTTCCCTACCTGTGAAATACCCTCATCTTTCAAACTTCATGCAGTCAGGCCAGTTTATAAAGCAGGTTTTCTATCAAATATAAACCCAGCTCAAGTTAGGCCTGAGGCCATTTTGCTATGGTTTTCTGGTTGAACAACAGTGAGCAACAGGTTTGGAGGTACATTTTCTCTCGTTTGGTGAGAGATGTTTCCCAGTTAGTAGTAATGTGTAAATTCTGGTAGATCTTTACTTACTATACATGCAATTTTTGTTTTTATTTCACACTTGCTTTGGCAATGTAAACATATCTTTTGCATGCCAATAAAGCCCCTTTGAATTGAAGAGAATTAAATCCCGCTTGTGCAACACAACAGGATGTTCAACGCACCACCATTTCTGTTTAAATTAACATTTTGCTATGTTTTGTCAGGGCTGAACGCAGCCTAGATCATTGTTTTTCTCAGATTTAAAAAAAAGTCTGACCAGGCATAACAGGCTTGTTCAAGACGAGCCAGGCCTGTGCAGATTACAGATCACCGGCGATTGCCGCCCCACAATGCATGCCAGTTAGCTTTGTGTCCAACTTCATCCTGACTTGCTCTGACATCATACAAAAGTGAGGTGGCTGCAGTTTTTAGAGCCAGGTGCTGCAGTTGCTCCACGGACTGCAAGACCCGGAGCATGATGGGAAACACCTGGTTCTCACCTGATCAAAGAGCTTATTGGTTTAGATGTCGACTCAACAAGATGACATTTTGGATAAACTTTTCATTTTTGTTGAATTTCAAAGATTTAGATGTTATTTGTCTGATTTGAAGTTCACTCAATCATAATTAAAACAACTGGGGACTGAGAACAAACTGTTGATTGTCTGATAACATTTTAATAAATCGACATCAGATCTAACAGGATGTAAGTTTTTCTGTGACTTCCTGCACAGACTGAAGGCTGCTGGAAACTGTCAGTAAACTGTCCAGCGTAACTGCAGATTTTTGTCACCGCCTCCTGTGGCGGCTGCCTGATCTCGTCCACTTTTTAGGCGAGGCACAGATCATCTTGAATGAGCCTATGAATAGCCTAACTGTTTTCATAGGCTGTAGTGCTCTTGAGGATGATTAAACTGACCTTTTTTTACTCTATGTGTAGAATAAGTGGAGTGTCCCTTTAATGTAATTTTTTAGTTTAGTTTTTTTTATTTTTTATTTATGTATTCATTTTTCAAATAAACATCTAATGGTTAATGTATAAGCCTTTCACCATCTCCTTTGACAAAATATCAGTTCAGTTGCTCATCACATTGTGGAGCCATTAATAACAAGAACTATGCCATGCAGCGGTGAAATATTATTTAACTTTTGTTATCATTATTAATTTATTATGTGATTTCTTAAAAGAACCTTTCAAAGAAGCATTTAACCTACATTAATTTGACACTATTGAACAGTAATCCACAGGTGGCGCTTTGCTTCATGAACGCTGAATGTGTCAACTGACATACACGTCACTGCCCAGCTGGCGGAATGCGCATGCGCTGTGAATTCATTCGAGGAAGTGGTCAGAGGCAACTGAAACGACGGAGAAGAGTTTGTTGTTTATTCCCCGCTCAGAGAGGACAAACCGGCCCGCAGCCCTGTCAACATGTCGGGATTTGAGAGCAACCCGTTCGCAGAGCCTGACAGCAGCAACCCTTTCAATGTAAGTGTGTGGTTTTAGAGTTTTAAAGCTGTTAAAGCAGAGTCGAGCCTGTGTGCTGACATATCATTCGTTAAAAGGTAGCCAGCACGTCAGGAAACTTGTTGGGTGGATGTCGGGGAGGGAACTATTTCTGCTCTCCTGAAAGTAATTGGGCAGAGACGCATGATTGACAGGCGATAAACCAATCAGAGGGCTGTTTTAAGAAAAAGGGGCGTGGTTTTGTGCGAGCCGAGTTGCAGGAAGTTAAAGTGTAGCTTACTAGGAATGTATGTCAAAGTTTTTTAGCCACATTACAACTGTTAGTGTTCAATTCAAAATATATATTTGTATCGTTATGTGGCTTTTCTAATATGTAAGGAGTGTTTAATATAATAACTGCTGCACTGTACCTCCACTGGTGCTGCTGGTTTGCTCTTTGAAAAGACTTTCTAACCTACAGGATGTAGCCTAGAAGTCTGTTCAGTCTATAAAAAGCTCGGTAACTTCATTGTCTTTATGTGCACAAGATTCATTGAACTCAAACGACTTTTCTGTGCCTGCTGTGTGCAGTCAGTATTGTTCAATGTTCACAAGTAGGCCATCTATAATGTGAAAGTGTCAAAGTGGCTGACCTACAGCCGAAAGTGTTTCTTTATGGAAATGGAAAATGTCAGTGAGTGACTATTTTTGAAATGTACAGGGAATTAAATTATCCTTGGGATGTATCTTAACGTTTCAGATGAAGCATGCACTCCAGACTTTACACATTTGAGACAAGTTTCTCATAGTTTTTTTTACATTGCCCCAACATGACCCTTTAAAGGGGCCCTCCAGTGACCAAATATTATACATTTATAAAGTTTGGAGACATACGAGAAACACATTATAGAAAGAATAGTCAACATAGAAGCAGCACAGGGTGAGATATGCAGACTTTTGTTCTCTAGCATATTTCAGACTTCAATAATGCTGGATCCCAGGGCAGGGCAATATGAAGATATTATATCGTTATCAAGATATGAGACTATATATCACCTTGTGTGTATCGTGATATGCATGAATGGTGTTTTTTCCCTTATTTTAAAGGCTGA